TACAGAAACAGAGTAAATGAACCTCGTGCTCCGTTTCTTAGTGTTCGCAGAGATTTCTTAACCTGTTTTTTCAAAAATGATATTGGAACAGGAGGTATTTTTATTTGGAGCCTGTGTACAAACTAGCATATGTCCGTGTCATGTCTCTGCCGGGGCAGTAGGTGTCAGCCACACACAGCCTTTCTCTTCCCAAGTCCTCGCTGTGAGAGACCAGCCCTGTCACCCATGTCTCCCAGGTACAAGGTCTCAATTCCGTTCCACTGTAAGCACGTAGAACAACTGCAAATAGTCGGTCATCCAGCAGTTGGAAACGGAGTTGTATTTAAGTGGAAAAGGGGCACGCAGGAGACTGTGTGAACGGGGTAACAAATGGGAGTGGTGGTGGATGGGGGACTTAAAGAAGCCGCTGAGCAGTAGTGAAATCCTAGCAGCAAGGTGGGTGTCTCAGTTAACACATCAGCTCACGCAGACATGCCGTCCTCTGGATCACAAGTCTCGTACTCTCTTCACAGAAAGAAGCGGAGGCATCAACAAGCACCGATCGCATTCTGGGGAAAGTGCCAGGAGTAGCTTGGTTAAGCGGACGAGGGGACAAGGGAGCTTCAAAATGGTCACGTAACAAATGGAAAACAAGATGCTGACATTTCCCCCACCAACTTTTGAAGCATCCTCGGAATTGTCTCTGACCTTAGGTAAGACCCTACTCTAAGCCCTGTCTTCCTAATCTTTAAAATGGGGGGGAAAGTTTTCAACAAGGAGGGAAAAATGAGATGTGTATAAGACAGTTTATATAGACTGTAAAGCACTATGTAATGATGGAACTAAAATGGAAAATCGAAAAAGAAATGGAGTTACTAAAGACTTCAGTGCTCACAATTTAACAGACTCTCATTAATTACTTTTACAAAAACTTGACAAAGTTTTGCATCAAGACTTTTCTTCCTCTCTTATGTTCAATGTTAAGTGGGGTTTTGACACACCTAGAGTCTATTTTTAAAAAGATCCCATCCTTACACCAAGAATATGAACACATTAACTTGTATACAAACTAGTCCAATCCAACTGAAAGAGAATTCTTTCCTACCTTTTTACACTGTACAATTATTAGTCATAAACCACTTAAGCCTCAGTGATAACGATATAGGAATATTAATCTTCAACAACCTTTCTGTTCCTTGTTGGTGCACTTAATTATTCATAAGTTGTCATTGCTAAAGTGTCATTGCTATCGTGATGGGTTTGCACTTGGCTTAGACAAGTTGTGGTTACCCAGTATTAAATCTAAATGATTTTCATTTGAAAGGAAAACTATTCCTGATACAAGTTCGTTTGCTTTATACCTGATGCTCTCATCCGAGCAGAAGTTCTCAAAGTGGATCGTTTAAAAATGAACCCATCAAGTCCTCCCTTCCGGTTCCAGATGTTCAGGCAGGTCAGAGGCAATTCAAACGCTTTTCTTTCCAGGACTCATCCTCTCCTGTAGAGCTCTGTGCTAAATTCCCTGCCTGTCTGTTCCCTTTGTGGAAAACCCTCTTTACACAACCCTGCCTTACCCCTACCCCCACCATCACCTCACCTCTCTTCCCCCCTCTCTTTTTCGCTGAGACTATCAATTTGTTATATCTTAAACTGACAGGAAGAAGGGGTTGAACTCTCAACCTTTGAAACCTTTTCATACTTGCTGAGTTATTAAGAAAACCCACTGCCACTTAAGCAGGGTGAAATACTGATTAGACTTTACCCCATCTGGAAAACGCTTTGGTTCAATAGTTCCACCAGCTCTACTTCAAGAAATTAAGTGTTTCATTTTCTGAAAATCCCAAATGGTTTAGAACCTTTTTTCCAAAAGGCAAAACCAAATTTCTAGAGGGGGTGATCAGCTCGGGAAGCGTGATTGTTTGAGACCTCCTTAAAAATGAAATCATTTTTGCCTAATATACTTCTTTGATGATGCCGGTTGCCACGGAATGGATCGCAATGCCAGGTGTCCGCCCTTGTGCACAGGAGAACTGCTCCGCAGGGATTTCCAGGCTGCACTTGGGGGCACGTTCGGACTGCAAATGGGGCAAGGTTGGACTCCAAGCTACCAGCCACACTCTTCCAGAAAAAGCGATAAAGCGATTGACCTCCATAAAGATTTATGGCCCCAGGAACCTGATGGAGGGTCGAAGTGAGTCAGGATCTTAGCAGCAGTACGTGCAATCTTTCAGAAGTACGCTCGTCTTTCTAGCCCTTCTCTGGGGTGTCGCAATCACCATCTTTCCAGTTATCAGCCAAACTCTTCGCCATTTGTGCCTGTTTATGTTCGTATATAGTGTTGTCTGTCCTATTGCTCCATGCTGTTGTCTCGAGGCCTTGTCTCATTACAGATAGGCATCTTGGCCCTCACTTTACCGTAGCAGTTTCTGGATGAAATTCTTGGGGGCCGCAGCCAAGACACACTACCAATATGGCGCCTCTTGCTGTTGGGTGCTGCGCTCTTGGTTGACCTCTGTCGTAATGGTGGATTTCTTACACCAACTGGCAAGATGCTGCTACTTCTCTTCCCCCTGCCTTTTAAATCATAGTGGTGACTTAAAAAATAAGCAGAAGAGGGGTCTTCTGTTTCTGGCTTTTAAAGTACTTTATAGAATCCATCGAAACCCCTGAGAGTTTGGAAAGACCCCATTCAATTGGATTTTGTGTCTTTCTCTCTTGGACCAGGGTGGGAGTCCTTTATCTGTTGTAGATAAGAATGGGAACAATAGGGTCGTTGTGTGGCACACCGGGAACCCTCTTTTCCAGGACTGTGACTATTGTCCTTCCCACTCCCCTCCCTCCTGGTGCATTTCCCCCTACATTCAGAACCTTGAGGCTGACTTTCTTACAGCCGGCTCTCCCGTATCCTCAAATGACTTCGGCTTAAATTTTTAATACATTGGCTAGCTCATTTCCGTCGGCATCCTCGGTGTCTGCAGAACTGCTCCCTTTCCGACAGCTCACAAACCCAAGCCATCTGACCCGCAGCGTTTCCACTTGGTTCCAAGGAGAAGCCAAAGACAAAAAGGAAAGGATTGCCATCCCTTCCCTCGGAGATCAGTGCTGATGTATGATTAATTATTATATATGAGATTGATGTATATCAATACATGAGCATAAATAGAATATTAGTATATGAATATAAACTATCTAATGTATGAATATAAATTACTGTATGACTATTAATATATGAACAAATGATTGATTGTATAGTATTGATCATTTATGATTAATAGTACATATATTATTAATCACTTTATTTTATTTTTTTTTTCCTTTTGAACCTTTTTATTAAATCTTGGGAATTAGAATGATGTTTTCAGGTTTTGACATTTTTAGGCCTTGTTCCAACAATCACTTACGGTCCTTGTGTTGACACCATTCTTTTTTTTTCTTTTTTTGTCTTTTAATCATTTTATTGGGAGCTCTTACAGATATAACATTGCACAATTTAAGCATACCAAGCAGTATTGTACAATGGCTACCACAATCAGTTTC